TTTAAAAAATGCAACTGGCAACAAGTTCATGTTATATGAAAACATTTTTCGCACGGAACATGTTTATTAGTTGGAGTTTGTTTTTATACACGTATACATGTATAGTATACAAGTCGCAAGTGTAAACGCGATGTTTTAGGGTTAATCCCCACCTAAGCACGTAGTCCAATGTTGCTGCAATTGTTACATTTGGTTAGCTAACAAGGAAACAAAAGTAACAACATTATGTCAGAGTTACTGAATGTTGGGTTTAAAGATTTTCAGATTTAGTGGATGTGTATGTTCATGTTTATGGTGGTTTTACAACAGGTGGTTTAACCATGTTGGGTCAGTGACAGGTTGGGGGTGAGTCAGATTTACAGGTAATTATGGATTACTGGTAAACGTGTGTCAGACTTAGAGGTAACGTGTGTCAGGATTATAGGTAAATATGTGTCAGGATTATAGGTAAATGTGTGTCAGGATTACAGGTAAAAGTGTGTCAGGATTATAGGTAAATGTGTGTCAGGATTACAGGTAAATGTGTGTCAGGGTTACAGGTAAAAGTGTGTCAGGATTATAATTAAAGGTGTGTCAGGATTACAGGTAAAAGTGTGGCAGGATTACAGGTAAATGTGTGTCAGGATTACAGGTAAAGGTGTGTAAGGATTACAGGTAAAAGTGTGGCAGGATTATAGTTAAAGGTGTGTCAGGATTACAGGTAAAAGTGTGTCAGGATTACAGGTAAATGTGTGTCAGGATTAAAGGTAAATGTGTGTCAGGATTACAGGTAAATGTGTGTCAGGATTACAGGTAAAGGTGTGTCAGGATTACAGGTAAAAGTGTGGCAGGATTATAGTTAAAGGTGTGTCAGGATTACAGGTAAATGTGTGTCAGGATTACAGGTAAAGGTGTGTCAGGATTACAGGTAAAAGTGTGTCAGGATCACAGGTAAATGTGTGTCAGGATTACAGGTAAAGGTGTGTCAGGATTACAGGTAAAAGTGTGGCAAGATTATAGTTAAAGGTGTGTCAGGATTACAGGTAAAAGTGTGTCAGGATTACAGGTAAATGTGTGTCAGGATTAAAGGTAAATGTGTGTCAGGATTACAGGTAAATGTGTGTCAGGATTACAGGTAAAGGTGTGTCAGGATTACAGGTAAAAGTGTGGCAGGATTATAGTTAAAGGTGTGTCAGGATTACAGGTAAATGTGTGTCAGGATTACAGGTAAAGGTGTGTCAGGATTACAGGTAAAAGTGTGTCAGGATCACAGGTAAATGTGTGTCAGGATTACAGGTAAATGTGTGTCTGAGTTAGAGGTAAAGGTGTGTCAAGATTATAGGTAACGAGTCAGGATTACAGGTAAACGTGTATCAGGATTACATGTAATCATGGATTTCATTTTGAGTCAGAATTGGTAATCCTGAACTATTGGCAACCATGAGTAAAAATTCTTGGTAATCCATAAGCACAAGCTACCCAGAGTCAGAATTACAGGTAATCTTGCTTTAGAATTACAGGTAATCTTGCTTTAGAATTACAGGTAATCCTGTCGAAATCCCCGACGAAAATCTGGCCACCCAGCAATCCTCTCCCCGCCATTCTTAGATCGATAATGTGAGACAACAAAATGCTAATGAAATAGTACCGTCAGTAGATCCGGCTTACTTCCGGTGGGATGAAGTAACGAGATAGTCACGGCGGTGGTCCCTCCCCTCCCCCCCTGTCTGACACACACCAGGACGTTTACCAGTTAATTCCCTCGTCATCTGGCTACCCCCCCCCCCTACCCAACACTACTTTATCGCCCTCTCCCACGACAAGTCTTATAAACTACCCCCAACCAAACTTTCCCCACCCCATTAAAGCTATTTTTTATCAACTACTCCAACCTCACCCCCTTTCCGCCTTCTAGCTCACCTACCCCCCCCCCCCTTCCATCAGTATATTGAGAATACTCCCCACATCACCACACAGTCTGCTAGTATACCCCCACCCTCCTCTAATCTCTTCCCCCACCCCCTCCCCTCTCAGAGAAGCCGCTATAAGCTCCAGGCTGAGCTAAAACCTTGTGCCGCGAACAATGAAAGAACAAGCAGCTTAGGTTTGCAACAAACAGACGGATTTCGTTTGTAGCCGGTCGCAATAAACAGATTTCAGTTTTTTTCAATTAAAAGCTTACGTTTCTATTAGCACTCACTACAAAAGAGGATGTGGTTTTTTTTTGGTTTTTTTTTGGGTAGGGGCGGGGTTGGGGGGGGGGGGGGATTAAACCCATTAATTTGTAATACCAACACGACTATTGAGAGAAATAACAACGACAAAAAATAAACCACAGAAACCTGTAGAGTAGCTGCTAATGCATCTGTTTGTGTACTTTATTAATACAACAATCCATGTGTCTAACAATCTTTTGTCTTCATCTTCTGCTACCCCCAAGTCTGTGTGGTCTGTCAGGACACCACTGGTATCCTTCTCTTCTACTCCCTCCCTTCCTCCCTGGCCTCTGACCATCCTCCTAGGTTGTCTTCTCCCATCCTCCGATGTTGTCTTCTCCCATCCTCCGATGTTGTCTTCTCCCATCCTCCGATGTTGTCTTCTCCCATCCTCCGATGTTGTCTTCTCCCATCCTCTGATGTTGTCTTCTCCCATCCTCCGATGTTGTCTTCTCCCATCCTCCGATGTTGTCTTCTCCCATCCTCCGATGTTGTCTTCTCCCATCCTCCGATGTTGTCTTCTCCCATCCTCCGATGTTGTCTTCTCCCATCCTCCGATGTTGTCTTCTCCCATCCTCCGATGTTGTCTTCTCCCATCCTCCGATGTTGTCTTCTCCCATCCTCCGATGTTGTCTTCTCCCATCCTCCGATGTTGTCTTCTCCCATCCTCCGATGTTGTCTTCTCCCATCCTTCGATGTTGTCGTCTCGCATCCTTCGATGTTGTCTTCTCCCATCCTTCGATGTTGTCGTCTCCCATCCTCCGATGTTGTCTTCTCCCATCCTTCGATGTTGTCGTCTCCCATCCTTCGATGTTGTCTTCTCCCATCCTTCGATGTTGTCGTCTCCCATCCTTCGATGTTGTCTTCCCATCTGTTCTTTTGTCTTTCCAATTTCCGTCACACACAGTTCCTGAAGGAAAGTTTTCGACGACATAAGGACTTGTCCGCCCCGTCCCCCCCCCTCCCCCACCCCGGAGATATATCTCTGGAAGAAACTTTGGTACCATTTTAGTTATCTTTATTTAGCGATTATCAGCGTGTTATCAGTCAGTTGATCATCATGATGTATAATTAACTGACTCATCCCACAACATAGTAAATCAATAGGAATGCGAGCTCAAAATAACAATCCTAGTAACTTCATAAACGATCTTATTTGTCTAGCTTGGATTTTATTTTCTAGTTCGGCTGTCGGCGTCTCATATTCACACGCTTACACAAATATGGCTATGACTAAAGAACACATTAATATGATTTGTTATGCATATGTTTACGTTTCGATCTGTCAGTATAGCCTAGAGTTTTGAACGTGCAGCTATGGTCGGAGATTATAACGTCGAGAATTTCAAGTCCATATTTCTTCAACACGGTTGTTCCTAGATATTTAAATCTGTTCACACAATGTAGTTTTATTTGTTCTCAGTTTATTTGTTCTCAATGTTGATTCTCAAAGTGAACCTGTCGCCATAATTTGTCGTCAACTGAACTGTGTTCCCTTGTTTAGTTCACCATTTGCAGTTGACATCTTGTCGATGAGTTTTACAAGTTTGGCCACGTCTTCTGTCCCCGCCTTCCATTAATGTCGCCCACTAAACACAAGTTATGAACTTTTGGTCCGTGACTTGCCCCTTATGGCTTTCTTTAGCATCTTCCAAAAATACACTGAAAATATTGGTTGTTAAATTAAAAATAGAACCTGCTTTCTTAATTAAAACTATTGGTTGCTTATAAAATCTCTTGTATTTTTCACACATATTCAGTGCATTTGAAAGCATTTTATTAAAATATTTCCTTAATATATGTTAATTTTTAATTGTGTTAAACTACCAGTTAACGTGTTGTTTGTAAACACGTTTTCAAATGTTTTTTTTACCGAATAAGTTCAGCATAAAAATTATAATAGTAGAGGTTTAAAAATAGCCAACCAAAGTTTAAATCATAAAAGTGACAGGTCTAAGTAAATTAATATCGAGGTAACTTATACGGTAAGTTTTTAAATAGAAATGTGACCTTCGAGACAAAAATAAATTCAATTTGTTTCTATTTACAAATTAGTAGTACTAATTTTTAAAATATCTAATTTCATATTTTCTCTATCCGGCAACTTTGATATTTGAAAGAAAAAGTCAGGATGGACCAAAAACTTGTTAAGTCTAAATAAAAAATACAGTCTTTCTCCGTCAACTAAACCGACGCCATTATACTAGCTGTATCGTTTAATTTCTCGAGCTACGTACGATATGTTTCAGTTGTTTATATGAGCATACCTAGAAAATGAAGAGTTCGGGAAATCCAGTAGCATTCACCGTTCTTAAGGAATCATCTCGATCAACAGACCAGAGTGATGAATATTGTGAACCAAATCTGGGAGAATAGGGCTCAGGATTAAGGGAATCTAGATATTGCACAACAATATTTAAACGTACTACATCACAGTCAACATATTTTTGTAAATCCATTTATTTTGTAAAAAGTGCGGTCGAGCGTTTAAAATAAAGATCTTTTAAAATATTCTGATTTTATTTTAACCAACCTGACATTTTTAAAAGCTGACCAATATGCCATTTTTTTCTATGGTTGTGAGTGTTACTATGGTTACGTGTGTTGCCATGGTTGGGTATGTTGCTATGGTTGTGTGTGTGTTGCTAGGGTTTTATCTGTTGCTACGCTTGTGTGTTGCTATGGTTGTTGTGTTGCTAGGGTTGTGTGTTGCTATGGTTGTGTGTATTGCTATGGTTGTGTGTGTTGCTATAGTTGAGTGTAATAATACTGTATGTATAAACGTTGATGTTGATCCTTCTCCAGCTGTTGTGAGCAACAGGTCAACCACCCTCTGACCCTGCCGGGATCAAGCAAACTGTGCCCTATGACCTGGGATGGGTTCGCCTGTTTCCACCCTACACCTGCAGGTCACACGGCGAGAGTCTTTTGTCCCTGGTACATAGCAGAGAGGACTCTAGACGGTAGGTCTTTTGTCCCTGGTACATAGCAGAGAGGACTCTAGACGGTAGGTCTTTTGTCCCTGGTACATAGCAGAGAGGACTGGATGGTAGGTCTTTTGTCCCTGGTACATAGCAGAGAGGACTAGACGGTAGGTCTTTTGTCCCTGGTACATAGCAGAGACGACTCTAGACGGTAGGTCTTTTGTCCCTGGTACATAGCAGAGAGGACTCTAGACGGTAGGTCTTTTGTCCCTGGTACATAGCAGAGAGGACTCTAGACGGTAGGTCTTTTGTCCCTGGTACAGAGAGGACTCTAGACGGTAGGTCTTTTGTCCCTGGTACATAGCAGAGAGGACTCTAGACGGTAGGTCTTTTGTCCCTGGTACAGAGAGGACTCTAGACGGTAGGTCTTTTGTCCCTGGTACATAGCAGAGAGGACTCTAGACGGTAGGTCTTTTGTCCCTGGTACATAGCAGAGAGGACTCTAGACGGTAGGTCTTTTGTCCCTGGTACATAGCAGAGAGGACTGGACGGTAGGTCTTTTGTCCCTGGTACATAGCAGAGAGGACCCTAGACGGTAGGTCTTTTGTCCCTGGTACATAGCAGAGAGGACTCTAGACGGTAGGTCTTTTGTCCCTGGTACATAGCAGAGAGGACTCTAGACGGTAGGTCTTTTGTCCCTGGTACATAGCAGAGAGGACTCTAGACGGTAGGTCTTTTGTCCCTGGTACATAGCAGAGAGGACTCTAGACGGTAGGTCTTTTGTCCCTGGTACAGAGAGGACTCTAGACGGTAGGTCTTTTGTCCCTGGTACAGAGAGGACTCTCGACGGTAGGTCTTTTGTCCCTGGTACATAGCAGAGAGGACTCTAGACGGTAGGTCTTTTGTCCCTGGTACAGAGAGGACTCTAGACGGTAGGTCTTTTGTCCCTAGTACATAGCAGAGAGGACTCTAGACGGTAGGTCTTTTGTCCCTGGTACAGAGAGGACTCTAGACGGTAGGTCTTTTGTCCCTGGTACATAGCAGAGAGGACTCTAGACGGTAGGTCTTTTGTTCCTGGTACATAGCAGAGAGGACTCTAGACGGTAGGTCTTTTGTCCCTGGTACATAGCAGAGAGGACTCTAGACAGTAGGTCTTTTGTCCGTGGTACATAGCAGAGAGGACTGGATGGTAGGTCTTTTGTCCCTGGTACATAGCAGAGAGGACTCTAGACGGTAGGTCTTTTGTCCCTGGTACATAGCAGAGACGACTCTAGACGGTAGGTCTTTTGTCCCTGGTACATAGCAGAGAGGACTCTAGACGGTAGGTCTTTTGTCCCTGGTACATAGCAGAGAGGACTCTAGACGGTAGGTCTTTTGTCCCTGGTACAGAGAGGACTCTAGACGGTAGGTCTTTTGTCCCTGGTACATAGCAGAGAGGACTCTAGACGGTAGGTCTTTTGTCCCTGGTACAGAGAGGACTCTAGACGGTAGGTCTTTTGTCCCTGGTACATAGCAGAGAGGACTCTAGACGGTAGGTCTTTTGTCCCTGGTACATAGCAGAGAGGACTCTAGACGGTAGGTCTTTTGTCCCTGGTACATAGCAGAGAGGACTGGACGGTAGGTCTTTTGTCCCTGGTACATAGCAGAGAGGACCCTAGACGGTAGGTCTTTTGTCCCTGGTACATAGCAGAGAGGACTCTAGACGGTAGGTCTTTTGTCCCTGGTACATAGCAGAGAGGACTCTAGACGGTAGGTCTTTTGTCCCTGGTACATAGCAGAGAGGACTCTAGACGGTAGGTCTTTTGTCCCTGGTACATAGCAGAGAGGACTCTAGACGGTAGGTCTTTTGTCCCTACTACAGAGAGGACTCTAGAAGGTAGGTCTTTTGTCCCTGGTACAGAGAGGACTCTCGACGGTAGGTCTTTTGTCCCTGGTACATAGCAGAGAGGACTCTAGACGGTAGGTCTTTTGTCCCTGGTACAGAGAGGACTCTAGACGGTAGGTCTTTTGTCCCTGGTACATAGCAGAGAGGACTCTAGACGGTAGGTCTTTTGTTCCTGGTACATAGCAGAGAGGACTGGACGGTAGGTCTTTTGTCCCTGGTACAGAGAGGACTGGACGGTAGGTCTTTTGTCCCTGGTACATAGCAGAGAGGACTCTAGACGGTAGGTCTTTTGTCCCTGGTACATAGCAGAGAGGACTGGACGGTAGGTCTTTTGTCCCTGGTACAGAGAGGACTGGACGGTAGGTCTTTTGTCCCTGGTACATAGCAGAGAGGACTCTAGACGGTAGGTCTTTTGTCCCTGGTACATAGCAGAGAGGACTCTAGACGGTAGGTCTTTTGTCCCTGGTACATAGCAGAGAGGACTCTAGACGGTAGGTCTTTTGTCCCTGGTACAGAGAGGACTCTAGACGGTAGGTCTTTTGTCCCTGGTACAGAGAGGACTCTAGACGGTAGGTCTTTTGTCCCTGGTACATAGCAGAGAGGACTCTAGACGGTAGGTCTTTTGTCCCTGGTACAGAGAGGACTCTCGACGGTAGGTCTTTTGTCCCTGGTACATAGCAGAGAGGACTCTAGACGGTAGGTCTTTTGTCCCTGGTACATAGCAGAGAGGACTCTAGACGGTAGGTCTTTTGTCCCTGGTACATAGCAGAGAGGACTCTAGACGGTAGGTCTTTTGTTCCTGGTACATAGCAGAGAGGACTAGACGGTAGGTCTTTTGTCCCTGGTACAGAGGACTCTAGACGGTAGGTCTTTTGTCCCTGGTACATAACAGAGAGGACTAGACGGTAGGTCTTTTGTCCCTGGTACAGAGAGGACTCTAGACGGTAGGTCTTTTGTCCCTGGTACAGAGAGGACTCTAGACGGTAGGTCTTTTGTACCTGGTACAGAGAGGACTCTAGACGGTAGGTCTTTTGTCCCTGGTACATAGCAGAGAGGACTCTAGACGGTAGGTCTTTTGTCCCTGGTACAGAGAGGACTCTAGACGGTAGGTCTTTTGTTCCTGGTACAGAGAGGACTCTAGACGGTAGGTCTTTTGTCCCTGGTACATAGCAGAGAGGACTCTAGACGGTAGGTCTTTTGTCCCTGGTACAGAGAGGACTCTCGACGGTAGGTCTTTTGTCCCTGGTACATATCAGAGAGGACTCTAGACGGTAGGTCTTTTGTCCCTGGTACATAGCAGAGAGGACTCTAGACGGTAGGTCTTTTGTCCCTGGTACAGAGAGGACTCTAGACGGTAGGTCTTTTGTCCCTGGTACAGAGAGGACTCTAGACGGTAGGTCTTTTGTCCCTGGTACAGAGAGGACTCTAGACGGTAGGTCTTTTGTCCCTGGTACATAGCGGAGAGGACTCTAGACGGTAGGTCTTTTGTCCCTGGTACATAGCAGAGAGGACTCTAGACGGTAGGTCTTTTGTCCCTGGTACATAACAGAGAGGACTAGACGGTAGGTCTTTTGTCCCTGGTACATAACAGAGAGGACTCTAGACGGTAGGTCTTTTGTCCCTGGTACATAACAGAGAGGACTAGACGGTAGGTCTTTTGTCCCTGGTACAGAGAGGACTCTAGACGGTAGGTCTTTTGTCCCTGGTACAGAGAGGACTCTAGACGGTAGGTCTTTTGTCCCTGGTACATAGCAGAGAGGACTCTAGACGGTAGGTCTTTTGTCCCTGGTACATAGCAGAGAGGACTCTAGACGGTAGGTCTTTTGTCCCTGGTACATAGCAGAGAGGACTCTAGACGGTAGGTCTTTTGTCCCTGGTACAGAGAGGACTCTAGACGGTAGGTCTTTTGTCCCTGGTACAGAGAGGACTCTAGACGGTAGGTCTTTTGTCCCTGGTACATAGCAGAGAGGACTGGACGGTAGGTCTTTTGTCCCTGGTACATAGCAGAGAGGACTCTAGACGGTAGGTCTTTTGTCCCTGGTACATAGCAGAGAGGACTGGACGGTAGGTCTTTTGTCCCTGGTACATAGCAGAGAGGACTCTAGACGGTAGGTCTTTTGTCCCTGGTACAGAGAGGACTCTAGACGGTAGGTCTTTTGTCCCTGGTACAGAGAGGACTCTAGACGGTAGGTCTTTTGTTCCTGGTACAGAGAGGACTCTAGACGGTAGGTCTTTTGTCCCTGGTACATAGCAGAGAGGACTCTAGACGGTAGGTCTTTTGTCCCTGGTACAGAGAGGACTCTAGACGGTAGGTCTTTTGTCCCTGGTACATAGCAGAGAGGACTCTAGACGGTAGGTCTTTTGTCCCTGGTACAGAGAGGACTCTAGACGGTAGGTCTTTTGTCCCTGGTACAGAGAGGACTCTCGACGGTAGGTCTTTTGTCCCTGGTACATAGCAGAGAGGACTCTAGACGGTAGGTCTTTTGTCCCTGGTACATAACAGAGAGGACTAGACGGTTGGTCTTTTGTCCCTGGTACATAACAGAGAGGACTCTAGACGGTAGGGCTTTTTTGTCCCTGGTACATAACAGAGAGGACTAGACGGTAGGTCTTTTGTCCCTGGTACAGAGAGGACTCTAGACGGTAGGTCTTTTGTCCCTGGTACAGAGAGGACTCTAGACGGTAGGTCTTTTGTCCCTGGTACAGAGAGGACTCTAGACGGTAGGTCTTTTGTCCCTGGTACATAGCAGAGAGGACTCTAGACGGTAGGTCTTTTGTCCCTGGTACATAGCAGAGAGGACTCTAGACGGTAGGTCTTTTGTCCCTGGTACAGAGAGGACTCTAGACGGTAGGTCTTTTGTCCCTGGTACAGAGAGGACTCTAGACGGTAGGTCTTTTGTCCCTGGTACATAGCAGAGAGGACTGGACGGTAGGTCTTTTGTCCCTGGTACATAGCAGAGAGGACTCTAGACGGTAGGTCTTTTGTCCCTGGTACATAGCAGAGAGGACTGGACGGTAGGTCTTTTGTCCCTGGTACATAGCAGAGAGGACTAGACGGTAGGTCTTTTGTCCCTGGTACAGAGAGGACTCTCGACGGTAGGTCTTTTGTCCCTGGTACATAGCAGAGAGGACTCTAGACGGTAGGTCTTTTGTC